ACTAGGCTTACAAATATTCACATTCCATTATTGAAAAATAAATATTGTTTTTAGTTTGTTATGTCTGACAAATTCTTATTACTCTAAAATTTATCTGATTTATGACATACCTTATAATTTACACTAATAATAAAAATTAATTTTCTATTTAAAATATATTGAAATAAATAACATTTTCATATGTTTTGATTAATTTTGCAGATAAAAATATTACAACTAATCTTGGATTTTGTAGACTAACAAAATTTAACTTTATTATATTTATCCACAATGCATATGCTTTTTGTAAGTTTATAAATATTAGAAATCATATACTTTGTCATACACATTTAAATATTAAAACCGATTAAAAACATATTTAATTATTTAATCCAACGTTTGGCGTGGGTCAAAATCTAGTAAATAATTAAAAGATAAGAAAGAAAGACAAATGGAAAATGGAAAAAAAAATAGTTAACCAAAATTTTTTAGATATTGTGAATTTTCCTACTTTCGCTTTCGCGATAATATAACATTTAATTTTTTTCTATTAATTCTTTTGTTGTGTATAACTGGACTGCAGGTCGCAGCTACTGTTAGCTCTGCTCTCCTCCTTGGCATATGTGGTCTACCCGATACGATTTTTCGATAAGGATTTCAATATTTAGACAAAGATATATTGCATCATTTTTTGACATTACATGATTGACTCTCTTACATCATGATTATAATGCACTTGTCTATCTTCTTCTCCATCTCTTTTTGCTGCTCGAAGCTTTTTCGCCCCATTACGGATGAGAAAAGTGCAGGCTACTGTATAAATAGGTGGCGATCTTGTCAAGCTGATTCCAGGTCGAGTTCCACCTGCACGACTTGCTTATGACACAAACGACAGTACCCGTAAGGTAATTTCTAAATCATATATGATATAATGTAACCAGAGTACGTGTTTTATGTATCTTTAAATCTCTGACATATGATTATACGACCGTGTTGATGTTTGTACAGTAGGTTCACAATCTGTTAAGCCTATACAACAAAATCGATGTACCGAACGACCGGATAATATTCAAGATTCCTGCAACCTGGCAAGTAAGATGTTTTAGTTAATACATAACAAAGCTTTTGTTTCTACCGGGCTCTAGATATGATTAGTATTGTACTTATCGTTCTGATAGGGTTTGAGGCTGCAAAATTGCTGGAGTCCGAGTTTACTCAAACGCACTTGACCTTTGATTACAGGTACATTGAACTTGTATTTTTACTTGCATCTGATTCTCTCTTCATATTCTCATTTTGCGTCCAACATCAGCTTTGCACAAGCTGCGGCAGCCGGCCAAGCCCGTGCTTCTGTCATTTAGAATTTCGTTCATCGCCTCCAGGTAACTTTTTCGATAATGCCAGCGGATATGGTGATATCGGTGCTGGGACCTTCTCTTGGGACGACAAGACAAAATCATCTCTGCAATTAAAGGAGCTGGGAAGGTTTAAGATAAAAACAATCTCTTATGTTCTTTCTAAATTAATGTGGTTTAGTTTTATCACAGATCATCAATGTTTCTACTGAATTACTTCTCAGACCAACTCATTTGGTTTTGGTTTGATACTCCTTGTATCGATGAACTTGGATGTAATAGTTTGTAGATTCTGTTATTGAACAAGTAGTTACACATATTATTTGGTTTCATTTTTGTGTTGTTGACCAAAATTTTTTTTTGTTTGTGTTATGCAAATCTATGAGTAATGTTCAGTCTACGACCAACATAATTTAAGATGGTACTCGGTAAAATTTTACAACATGGATCCGAAGCACTCATGTAATACCTAAACCTTCATTTCTAATGATATTAATATTCTTAGAAAAAAAAAACATGGATCCGAGGATAATTAGATTTCAAAATCTAAACTCTCCAAAGTTGTTTATTTACTCTTTTTTTGTTTGATATATCGGTGATATTTTCAGCTGCTTTTAACAGGGAAGAAGACACTGACACTTACATAATCAATGCTGTAGATGATCCAAAATTTTGAACAAGGTCTTATATGTTAAGCCACCAAAGTAAAACTTACTCAACGATCTCGTCTTGCTTTGGTATAACATGAGATGATCAAGAAGACTCCACATAATTTACATTCTACACTAACTTCTCTTCAACCAGATCATAGGTCCGAAGTACATCAAATGTTCTAAGCTTTTCATGTTTACCCCTTTATAGCTTTGGGGAAAAAGGATTTATGATGTCTTAAACTTAAAATAAAATAGTCAAAAAATTTCATCCTACTTTGTCACTTCTTAGATTAATGAGAAATTTCAAAAAATACCACTTTTCAAATGTCACTTTACAAAAATACCACACTTTCGAAATCTTTACAAAAATGCTACACTTTTGAAATCTTTACAAAAATACCAC